TTCCCTGCTCTTTTTTTTTTTTTTTTTTTTTTTTTTTTTTTTTTTTTTTTTGTTAACAGCACTTCTAAAAGCTGAGATGCATTAATACATCACAAAAATTTATTTTAAGTTCTTTTTAAATGTATCTCTATTTTTCAAATTTTCTGCTACCTACAAGAATACTTTCATCACTCATAAAACAATGCTGTATCTATGAGAAATCACAACAGGCCATCTTCCCACCCACACTCCTACCCTTACCATGGCTTGTTTCTCTCCTTCATAAAGGAAGTTGTGTTCCTAGGTGGGCAGAACTATGGAGGTAAGGGGCCCTGGACTGGAAGGCTGCAGGGAGCTATCTGGACACTGGATACCTACAGTGGTCATTCATTCAAAGTGATATGGTGTAGTGGTTTCTAAAGCCTGGAAGAGTGCAATAACAGAGGTACAGGCTCTTTAAGTAATCTGTGTCCCAAAGGACCAGATTGCCAGAGTCAGGAGAGAGTACAGGGGTTCAAGGTCAAGGATGTGGGTGATCTCTAGTGATGGCTCTTGAGTTAGTAAAGGGACAGAGGCTGAGCACCTGGCACAGCGTTCACCAACATGGGTACATGGCTCAACAGTAAAGAGTACTCCGTGAATTTAGACATTGAGGAGCAACTTGCTAGGCAAGTTAGGACACAGGTAGCTTCTTTCCCAAGTTCATCCAGGACTCCATTCTCTCACTGCTCTGCACCCCCAGGGAGGTGGTTACAACAACATCAAGATTTCCCTTAGCCAGAGGATCCAGTCCAAGGAAGGACAGAAGGGGCTGTGGAACACAAGAATATTTCTCTAACGGACAAGACCCAGAATTCACTCAGGTCGTCTCTGAGCCCAGTGTTCAGAACTTGGGAAGAAGGGTGCTTGAGCTGCAAGGGAGAGAGGACACGGCTCACTGTTGCAGCCTCAGGGTGGATCTGTGGTCAGAAGGAAAGGGCAACAAAAAGAAGGAAAATGGTTCTTGTATAAATTTGAAATATTCTTGTTGATCCACAAGAGAGAAAAGTTTTTAAAAGATGAGATGATAAAAATCAGGAGGCATTCATCAACTGTCTATATTCAACAAATGATACCATCTAGAAACACATGGTATCATTTTCAGAAAACACACAAAGCAAGACTATGTCAGTGTTTACAAATTTATTCTTCTATTATTATTGAACAGGTGTAGCCTTCCTGTGCATGTCAGCAGATCTCATGCAACTACAGCAGATTTTAAACTTCAGTAGGAATTAAACCTTGAGATTTCCCCAAGAGTCTGGTAGCAGAGAGCAGAACCCACCAGCCATATCCTGTCACCTCTCCTTCTTCGTAGCATCAATGACTGCCACGTAGGACAAGAACCTGTGATGACTGTACAGATAATGCTCCATGAACTCTTTCCTTTATAGCCTCTGAGCATTTCCCCATCACTACACGTGATCAAACCATGAACAAAGAAATGGGGTTCACATCCAGAGTCTGATTGCAAGAGGTGGAAATATTTGGAGATACACAGAGTTAGGCTGAACTAGGAAGGAGGAGATGGTCTTTATGCAAACAACCAGAAAGCAGTGGGAAAGTTGGCAGCTCAGTGGACTGAGAGGATGGTGAGTCTCAGCTAGGAGCAGTGTGGGGGCCTGACTGAGGAGTAGCCATGCTGTGTCTTAGTCAGGACCTGGATGTGCTCCCCAGTCTAGGATCTTGGTCCTTATGTGGGATGTTGGAGATAAAAGTTGGGGTGTAGTAGGAGGTCACAAGCCTGTTCCATCTGTGTTCTGGTTTCAATTCTCTCAGTGTGGCCTCTCCCTCTAGCAGGCACTACCACCATAATAGCATTGCTGTTAAGGGGATACAGTCAGGAGTTATCATGTGTGCATGGCTCTGTCCAGTAATCCCCCACCCCCAGTCCTCTGAGCTGCACTAAGAGGTTACTGAGTCAGGCTGTCATGGATCTGGATAAGTTCCTGCAACTTCAGCTCCAGGTCCTGAGCCTGCTTCCGTAGCTCTGCAGCATAATCTGCCTTTGCACCCTCATGCAAATGCTTTGAGTCTTCCACAAGGCTGACCACATCCATCACAAGGAAGATGCCTGCTGTGGCTGCACCCATGATTCTGGCTCCTTTGGTCATTGCCAGAGCAGTGCCTCCAAAGGCTTTCTGCACCTGTCTTGTTTTTCGGGCTGACACTGTCCCTGTTGTCATGAGACGCTTGGCATTATTAGCTAGGCGAGGGTTGGCTTTGGCCAGCTTGATGGCATCAATGTTCTTCTTGATGACTTCTAGGTTCTGGAATGAATTCTTAGAAACTGAAACAAGCCTGGGGGTGTACTTCTTTAATGGTGTTCGCTGTGTCTTGGTTGGTTGGCCCCAGCTGGCTGGCTTCAGCTTCCGCTGACGCTGTGCTTACCGTTTCCACAATGCTTGTGGAAACACTCGTCACAGCTGCTGCTGCTCCCAGACCTAAGCCTGTGGCTGAAAGTCCTAGACTGACTCCTGCTGTCACAGGTGCCAGAGCAATGCCAAGGATTGTCAGGATACCAGACACAGCACTGGTGGAGCTGGCCACCACTTGTGTGATGGTGCAGTCCCTGTGCACCTTGTCAACCTTGTCTGCAAGGTCATGGAGCTTCCTGATGTGCTGCTCAAGCTCCAGTTTCACCTGAGGATAAACATCCAAAAACCTCTTCTGCGCCTCAAGCTCTCTTTGGAGATGATATTCATCGTCTACATCACTATTCACTATGGTGTCACCAAGAGCTTCACTCAAGGCTTCTTCCTCATCCCTGTAACAGGAGAGACCCACTTAGTGAGGAACACAGCTTGTAAAGTAAGCTCTGTCCTGTGGAAATCACAGAGCATTTGTTGTGATGAAATGAAGGAGAGTGTTACAGCTGTAGAGGATCTTTCCTTCATTGATGAGAAGGTTTGACCCACTGTTCCATCTTTAATTGTTAAGGACACAATGCATTAAAAATGATCGTAATGTGTCCTTTTAATTTTCTTTATTTAGTGTTTGAGTGTTTTGCCTGTAGAGTGTGAGTATGCAAGCGTGTGTGTGTGTGTGTGTGTGTGTGTGTGTGTGTAGCATGTGCAAGCCTGGTGCCAGTGGAGGCCAGAAGAAGGAATTGGATTCTGGACCCCGAATTACAGACAGTTGTGAGTCACCATGAGGCTGCTGGGAACTGGACCTCAGTCATCTGGAAGAGCTTTCAGTGCTCCTAACCCCTGAGCCATCTCTAGACCCTTAACACACCCTTTGTTGCTAGACATTTAATAAAGATGCCTTCCCCTCAAGGTCAAGGTCATCACTACCAACATCCTCTGTAGAACTCTAAAACAAACACAGAGGAGTGAGGTTAGAGAAAAACTAACCCTTTATTTTAGGGAAGGTTATTGTTCTCAGAAGAGTTCACTGTTCCCAAAGAAAAGCCTCCTCTTGTCCTCATCTACTGGGAACTGATCTGCCTAAGAGGAGTGAGGTTAGAGAAAAACTAACCCTTTATTTTAGGGAAGGTTATTGTTCTCAGAAGAGTTCACTGTTCCCAAAGAAAAGCCTCCTCTTGTCCTCATCTACTGGGAACTGATCTACCTACCCTACAGTGTCCTGCTGCTCAAGGATGTCCACGTTAGTTAGGGGACTTGGGATATGAAGGTCTTCAAATTATACATCCCTAAGAGAGAAACCCTACATAGGACTTTCTTTGAAGCTGCATGTATTTTTGCAGTGCAGTTCTGTGTACACCTGAGCTGATGTGGCCTCTCACAGGAAGACCCATCCACTCAAAACAGCACTAAAGTTCCTTCCTGCTGTGAGCAGAAGATAAAGAAACCTGAGTGGATTCCTCATTTACATGTGGGTCTCATTCCCAGGAAATCTCACTGTGCCTCTGCAAGAATTTTAGTACCAGGCAAAACTGAGAACTCAAACCACATAGGCTCCCTAGCCCTACGTGAATGATTTCTCAGCCTGAGAAAGGTGATGTGTGGTGGGACTTTGCTGTCATTTCTGACCTCCAAAGGAAGTAGACACTAAGGACATGAACTGTAGGAAGGAAGGAGACCCCAGGTCACTCCTGGGGACTGTGTATATGATCAAAGCCCAACAATCTTCTGAACGTGAGGCTTACATTGACAAAACATTTTCCTTGAGAAAATTTTATAAAGCTTTTTAAAACTGCTCCTGATGTGGGTTGATCTTGGCTTTCCATGTCTTTCCTGTGCATGGTGGGCATTCCCTGCCCAGGCTTGTCAAGAATCCTAAGTCAGGTTGTGAGAACACTCTACCTTTGATACTTGATACTCGATACTCATTCAAGTTTCCATATCTAACTTCCAGTGTGTGTGTGTTAGGCCTTGACTTCCCTCAGGAGGAATCCCATGAGGTCAGCTTCACAGTGCCCCTAGTCTCTGCTATCTACTGTCCCTAAGTCACTTTGTCTGCTTGAGTCCCCAGCTGAAGGTATATCCAGAATTGTTCTGTCTCTTTCCCTTACACAAACAGTCCTGAGCAGTATCTTCCTACTGTTAACCTGTGTCAGAATAATTACTCGTTCCCTGGGATCTTTCTTGGTCTGCAGCATTGCATGTGAACTCTCACAGGACTGCACCTTGTCCTGAGGACAACAGAGGATTCTCCCTTAAGACCCTTGAAGTGGACTGTGGATGTGGCTAAGTTGGTAAAGTGTTTGCCATGCTACATATGGAGCAGAGTTCAGTCTTCCAGAGTCCACATTGAAAAGCCAGGTGCTGGACATGGCCAGGTTGTGAGAACACCCCTACCTTTGAAACTTGATACTCAATACTCATTCATGTTCCCATGTCTAACTTCCATGTCTAACTTCCCTGTTTGGGAATGCAGAGTCATGAGCATCCTTGGTGCTCTCTGGACAGCTATTGAAGTCAAATTGATGAGTTCCTGGTAGATAAAGGTGATTATTTCTTTTAAAGGGGTTGCAGGTATGGCTCATTCACTGAGATCATGCACTTCTCTTGCAGAAAAAGTGGCTTTGGTTCTCTGCATTCACACTTGGTGCCTCAACGTGGCACCAAGAGAGGTACCCTTTTGTCCTTCATGGATAACCCTGTAGATTAGGGACCTCACTCATACCCTGGCTTAATTTCATTACTTTGGTTGCTTAAAGGTTCTATGTTCAAATGCAGCCACCTTGGTTAAGGTTTTTCAAATGAGTTTAGGAACACAACTCAGTCCCTCCCACTAGTGACATTATTCAAGTACCTCATGTGACAGGTGCTCATAAACACATTTAAACAGCTTGCCCTGATGCCATTCATTTTTTTTTTTTTTTTTTTTTTTTTTTTTTTTTTTTTTTGAGACAGGGTTTGTCTGTGTAGCCCTGGCTGTCCTGGGACTTGCTTTGTAGGATAGACTGTTCTGGAACTCACAGAGATTCATCTGCCTCTGCCTCCTGCGTGCTGGGTTTAAACACCTCTGCCTGGCACCATTCAAGCTCTTATACACAGTCCCCTAACCCTGTTCTACTTTTTCCCCACAACACACCTCTGCCTGGCACCATTCAAGCTCTTATACACAGTCCCCTAACCCTATTCTACTTTTTCCCCCCAACCTAAGAGAAAAAGCACATGGAGCTGTGGCTGAGTACCTCTCTGTCTTCTCCTGCAGGTCATTTTGGAGCTCATCTTCATCTTCTACATCAGGATCTGCAGTGATCTCACGAAGAGTTTCATGCAAGGTAATTTCCTCTTCTCTGTAACAGGAGAGACCGATGGAGTAAGGAAGACAGCTTGTAATATAAGCTCTCTCAAGTACAAGAAACACAAACAGGCACACACACACACATACACGAGAGAGAGAAAAAGAGAGGAAGAGGAAAGAAGAGAGAGAGAGAGAGAGAGAGAGAGAAAGAGAGAGACAGAGAGAGACTAAAAACAAAACCTTTTGTAATAATCAACTTTCAGTGAACGCCTACTATGTGCTGGCCTGTGTGCCGGCCATATGCTGACCCTCCATATGTATCCTCTTATTTTTCTTACAATGAAGTGCAATGCTCTTCAAATAAAGCAGAAGGTAAGAAACTAAGTTCTCATGGTCACAGGAAGAGCCATGGCAGAAACAATCTTGTCCCCTGAGGTTGCCATCTCTCCTTATTCAGAAATTGTTCCCTGCTACTAAACAGCATTAATGTAATATTTCCTGAGAAGGGACACACTGGACCCCAACTACTGATTCTTCCTGGTCAGAATATTCCTGTCCAGAAAAAGACAACAAAGCATGGGCTCTGGTGGCATTGCTAGCATCCACTAGGGAGGTGACCTGGACAAACCAGTTTCTTCCACAAGCTGTTTCCAGGCTTCCTCTTCAGTCAGCAGGAACTTCAGAGCCTCTGTGCTCCTTGTGTCCAGGAGGTACCCAACCATAGACTCAAGGAAGAGTTTTCTCTCTAGATGGGTAAGAAAAAGAATAGGGTCAGGTGACAGTGCATAAGAACTTGAATGGCTTCAGGAACAGCTGGTTAAATGTTTTTCTCAGCATCTGTTCCTTGAGGTGTCATTAGTGGTAGGGGTTGAGTTGTGTCCCTTAACTCATTTGTAAAAGCTCTAACCCCAGGTGACTCTATTTGGGGACAGAGCTGCTAAGGAACCAAGGGAGGTTGTGAGTGAGGTCCCTAATCCATGTTATTAGTGTCCTCATAGCAACCAGAAGAAACTCCCTCTCTCCCTTTCCCTCCTTCTCTATCTTCCCTCCTCTCCCCTTTCTCTCTTTCCTTGCCTCTCTTCAACTCTCCAGACACATAAAAGAGTCCATGGGCCAGCACAGGGCACAGGCTCCTCTGCCAACTAGGAAGAGAGGGCTCCCCAGTGACAACCTGCCTCACTCTGATTGTGGATGTTGGATTCCAGAGCAGGGAGAGAATAAGTTTTTTCTTTTAAAGCCACCTACCCAGTGTCACTTAGTGATGACATCTTGAGAAGACCAATGTACCAGAGCTATGTCATTGTGCTTTGCAGATACACATGTCCTTTTCAGCTCAGAACAAGTAGGAAGTGAGCCCCTCTTCCCCAGGAAGAGGGAGAGTCCAGTGATGGCTTCCTTTTACTGTGTGCCTGTGGCATAGTCCTTGAATGTGACTTTTCTCCTTGATCTTTATTTTGTGTATGGGAATATTTGCCTGCTTGTATGTATGTCTATGCACCATGTGAGTGTCTGGTGCCCAAGGAGGGCCTTGGATCCCCTGGAGTTGCAGTTATAGACTGCTGTGAGCCTGATGTGGGTGTTGGGAACTGAACCCATGTCCTCTGCAAGAGCAGCAAGTCTCTTAATCTCTGAATCACTCTCAGGACCAAAGGTGACTTTTGATTCTGTAGTGGTTACTTATTAACCCTGAGTTTCAATCCACTGGACTTATAAATATCTTGGAGATCAGTAGCCTTTGTTTGGGTGGTTTGTGAGGGAGCTTCCAGATGTGAGTAGATCCTAAGTGCTCTGAGCTAATAAGTGGTTCAAAGACTGAGGTGAGGAGGCATGGGAAGTGGGGTGTGGCTGGAGTCTTGGGGTGGGTGTGCATCTTGTCTTGGCCCTTTCCTGTTACTGCTTTGTCTGCATTTTGTGTGCCATGATGTGAGCTGTGTACCTGTCTTCCTTACAATAATCATACAATATTGTAAGCAAAACAAATCTATTCTCATTAGTCAAAATATGATAAAAGTAAAACAAAACAAAACAAAACAAGCTCCTAAATCACCTAAAAAACAAACAAACAGCCCAGTGGTGATGGCGAATGCATTTATTCCCAGCACTTGGGATGCAGATGCAGGCAGATCTTTGTTAGTTTAAGGGCAGCCTGGTCTATAAAATGAATTCTAGGATGGCCAGGGCTATTACACAGAGAAAACCTGTCTTGGAAAACCAAAACCAAACCAAACCAAAACAAAGCAAAAAAAACAAACGAACACACTCCCCCCCAAAAAAAACAAAACCCACAAAATGAACAAAAAATATCAAAGTGAGTAATAGGAGATTTTAAAAATATGGCTGCATTTATGTCTATGTGATGGTGTCAGGTCCCCTAGAACTGGAGTTACAGACAGTTGTTAGCTGCCATGTAGGTGCTAGAAACTGAACCCAGATCCTCTGGATGAGCAGCCCAGTCTTCTCAACCACTGAGGCATCTCTCCAGGCCTGAGTAACACTAGTTTTAACAACAAGCTTTGAATGAATGAATGAATGAATGAATAGAATGAATGAATAGAATGAATGAATAGAATGAATAGAAGCCAATAGAAGAATTTTAAAAGGAAATGGAAGCAGCAGAGTGGTGTATGCCTTTAATCCCAGCACTAGGGAAGCTAAGGCTGGTAGATTGCTATGATTTGAGGCCAGGAGAAGCCAGAGAACACAGGGATTGGAAGTCTAGTGTATATCAGGCTAGTGTAGGTGGTTCCTGGGTGTAGGGTGGTTCCTGGTAGTGTGGTTTCTGGAAATAGGGTCTTTCCTGATGTAGGGTGTTCTTTCATGTAGAAGATTATTAATGTTGAAGGGACCAGCCCCCCATTTCGGCAGCCATGAGAGTAACACGTGCTCGTTATGACCTTGCCTTAGTCACTAGAGGTTAGGTGCCTGCCTTGTGACAAGGAACCAATCAGAAGTTAGCTGGTGGCGCTATGCTTTACGACTCTGGTTGTACTTTACGGACAAGCGCACAGCAATGACGCACAGAGCATAGCAACCACCCTGGGAGGGCCTATGGGCCATAACAACCAGTTGGCCAATCAACACTGGGCAAGCCCTCCAAGGCTGGAGGCACACCAATCCTGAGCCTGTGCGTGCCCCTAGACACTCCCCTTACGCTGACCTACAAGATCGCTCAGCAGCCGTTTCGAGGGGTCTTTGCTAGCCATCCGCCTTTGTGGGTGGGTGAAAGACCCGAGCTAACATGGGGTTAGCTGGTTAAAAAACAATAAAGCCTCATGCAGTTTGCATCAAGCTCTCGAATCTCCCTGGTGATTGGGGTGACCGAGGTCGTGGCCTGGGACCCCAGATACCTGAGTTTTTCCGGGGTCTAACAATGTGTATAGGGTAGTTACTGGTTAGGAACCAACTGAAGGTGGAGGTTTTTGTTTCTTTCTTCTTTTTCTTTATCTTTATCTTTTTCTTTTTCTTTTTCTTTTCCTCTCTCTCTCTCTCTCTCTCTCTCTCTCTCTCTCTCTCTCTTTTGGTTTTTCCAGACACGGTTTCTCTGTGGCTTTTGAGGCCATCCTGGAGCTAGCTCTTGTAGACCAGGCTGGTCTCAAACTCACATAGATCCGCCTTCCTCTGCCTCTGGAGTGCTGGGATTAAAGGCATGCACCACCAGCGCCTGGCTTTTTTTTTTTTTTTGGGTAGGTTTCAGCTTCAACACCAGACTTTTCTTTTAAATGAGAAAAGGAGCCATCAGGCCCACCTTAGGTAGACACAGCTGGTAAACAAGCACCTTTCCTGCAGTGCAGGACAGGAGCCTTAAGAGCCTGCAATGGGCATTGGATCCATTGGAATTAATGGGGTCCAGGGAGAAGAGGCAACCAACAGGG